ACCCCTTTGACTTATGTAAAAGGGAAAGATGCTTTGGCGGTGAAAACCACTTCTTCCCCTAAATATTCGTCAAAACAGAAGGGCAAATCTTCGGATGGCTGCTTTCAGCAGAAGTATGACTTCCAAGATAAGCAAGTCATCTCGATACTCAAATCCTTGATCAAGGCGAAAAATATCAGGCTCCCAGAATCGATGCGACCTGAGGAGATGTCAAGAATGGATGATCCCGACTATTGTGTGTACCACATGATGGTCCATCATCCCACCTCTAAATGCTACGCCCTGAAGAATAAGATCCTAGCCTTATTAGATGCAGGAGTCTTTACTCTTCAATCTTGATTTACAGCTATCGCTGGAGTGGGTATAGTCATAATTTCTCTGCAAAACCATATACTACCTTAAGCTTTCTCTCTCATGAACCCATGACGACCCAAAGCTCGTCATAAATCAACTCTAAGGTGAGTCTAAAGTCAGACGTGAGCATCTGGCCCCTTACCAAAATACTATCATGTTAATGATTACCTCTGATAGTCACTTCCTCTAAATTTCCTCACCAATCCTCTTCAATAGGATGACAGAATCACAAACTATTACGTTAATGATTACCTCTGATAGTCACTTCCTCCAAATTCCCTCGTCAATTCTCTTCAATATGGTGGCGGGATCACAAAACTATCACGTTAATGATTACATCTGATAGTCAATGTTCTTTCAAAAAAATATCTTTCCAACATTGGCCTACCAAGTGATGTGCCTTCGTTTTCTTTATTGTCGTTTTACTTTTAAGTCACTGAACGACATGATTATCCTAACGTCGTCGTTTCCCCAAATAACGTTCGTTTTCCTACATTGACCTACAAAGTGATGTGCTTTTGTTCTCATCATCATCGTCATACTTCCAAGTCACTGAACGACATGATCTTCCTAACGTCGCCATTTCCCCAAATGACGTTCGTTTTCCAACATTGGCCTACCAAGTGATGTGCCTTTGTTTCAATCATCGTTGTCGTACTTTTAAGTCACTGAATGACATGATCATCCTAACATTGTCATTTTTTATAAATGATGTTCGTTTTCCTGCAACAAGCCTACCATATGATGAGCTTGAGCTTTATTATCATGCATATGATCTAAGACCTTAAAAAGGGCTAAGGATAGAGGAAAATCTTAGCATTGAGCCTAAGAGAAATTCCTCAATAACTTACCATGCTAAGGGCAAAAGCATGGCTAGTCCAATTCAAACGGCAGTTGGTAAAGACACATCAAGTCCGTTGATAACTGAGGGTTTACTAAAAATCCTAAGTCCTAATCGTCAATCCCATATGGGTCTGACGAAACACACACCAAATGACAAGACTCAACGAATAACCGAACTTCATCTTGAAGTATTGAGGTTCGCCCAGAAATAATAAACTTCACCTGCAACCACGAGGTTCACCGCGAAGCGTCGAAGCTTGCTAAGAGGCCAAGCTCACCAAGAGGCCAAGCTCATCCCAAAGCATCCAAGCTTGTCATGCAAATCAAGCTCGTCATATTCAAGAAGGTTCAAAGTATTTCAGACCCCATACAACCCAATTTGGGTCTGAAAAACTTTGAAGGAGATCTTGTAGACACTAAAAAAGTGCCAAGGAATAAAGCAAGGTTGAACCTTGCTACAAGCATGACGAGGCTCGTTATCATAATGAACCTCATCTTAGCCAACAAAGTCCATCCGCAGACGAACCTCTTCTAACGACACTTCACCCCTCAAAAGACGAACTTCATCATTGAAGACGAAGTTCGCCCAGAAATAAAGTTCGTCATTGAAGATGAAGTTCCGTCCAGAAACGAAGTTCATCCAGAAACGAAGCTCGTCATTGAAGATGGAGTTCGTCGTTGCCATTGTTAACGAACCTCGTGCGTAGCCGAATCTCGTCTGTCATAATTTTCAGAGGCTACATTTAAGGAGGATTAATGACCAATAACTCACATATTTAAGGAGAGTTAATGACCTCATTTAAATGTGAGTTAATGACCACTAACTCCCTTATTATAAAGGGAGTTAAAGCCCATTAACTCACTCCATAATAGTCCTAAGCCTATAAATAGGCATGATCAACATGAAAAAGGGGAGGGGATGGAGAGGCTAGTAAAAAAAAGCCTATCTCTCCTCCTCTCTCATGGATCTTCATAGATCATTGGCTAATTATTTGGCCTTAGAATGTTGAAGCTCATAACGAGCATGACGAGGGTCATTACAATGATGAACCTCGTCTCAAACAACTAAGCTTGTCGTTGGAAACAAGATGTGAAGCTCGTCATTAGAAATGAGGTTCGAATCTCATCATTGGAAATAAGACTTGACATCAAAGACGAAGCTCGTCATTGGAAACGAGGTTCGAAGCTCGTCATTGGATACGAGGTTCGGAGTTCATCATCGGAGGTGAAGTTCGTCAATGAAAACAAAGTTTGTCATCAGATTTAAAGCTCGTCAGTGAAGACGAAACTCATTATTAAAAAAAGCTTACGAGGTTCGCCACGCAGTGAGGCTCGACATCAAGGACGAAGTTCGCCAACGTAGTGAAGTTCGTCACCCACATTCAATCAGGCTATAACGGCCACGAAGACCCAGTCAGCCACGTGGGCTAGATTCAACGAGTCAGTTACGCCACGACTCCATAATTTCAGCGCATCAGTTACGCCCACGACTCCACGATTGTAGCACGTCGGTTACATGCTCAAACTCCTATAAATAGCCTCGAGCAACTATTAAGAGGAGACTAGACTTTGACTTTTGATACTCGGACTTGGAGATCTTTGGCTATCGCAAGAAGAGAAATCGACGTTCGTATTCTCATGTTCTAACCCACATCAGAAGCTCTTGTGATCTTGTTCTGATCGTCAATGGGAAGCAATCTCGACTCAAGCATTGAGGGAAGCATTCTTTCGCCACCAAGAACCCACGTTAAATAAGGAGAAGCTGAATTAATCTTCTCTTCCTCTGTAATCGAGAGATTGTCCACCAAGAACCCACGTTAAATAAGGAGAAGCTGAATTAATCTTCTCTTCCTCTGTAATCGAGAGATTGTGAGTGATTGTAAGGGTTTCGTACCTGAATTAATCTTCTCTTCCTCTGTAATCGAGAGATTGTGAGTGATTGTAAGGGTTTCGTACCAAGTGATCAAACACATTTCTTAAAACAAGAGAGTCAATCAATCCTTAATTTTTTTTTTGACCCTACAGGGCTGAATGGGGTGTAACCACCCCCTTAAACTACTCCCCAAATCATGGGGGAAAACGGTTTTGAACTGTTCAGTTCATGCTTTGAACGAGTCAAACGCTGAAAAATAACGTTCAGGGCCCGAACTCTGCGTTTTAGACTTGAAACGTAGAGTTGGGCCTATTTTGATGGCTAAACGCACAGGTCACGCTGCGTTGCATATCTGAAACGTAGAGTTGGGTCGCAGAGATGAACTTCGTGTTTTGGACCTGGGACACAGAGTTGGGCTCTGCATGAACTCTGCGTTTTGAGTTCACGAACTCTACATATGGACTTGAATGCTGAGGATGGCCTCTGCGTTTTCGACTAGAATGCTGGGAATGACCTTTGCGTTTTGACTCTGAAACGTGGGCATGACCTCTGCGTTTTGATGTTGTAACACAGGGATGATCTCTGCGTTTTGATGGTGAAACGCAGAGATGACCTCTGCATTTTGATGTGAAGAGACCATCAATTTGTGGTCTCTTTTGCTGGAGCGTTGTAAAGACCGTCATCTTGTAATTTTTATCTTTGCTCCTTGAAAATATGAGAGTCGTCAGATTGTAACTCCCGTCATCGGTGTTTGATGAGGATTAGCTATCTCTTGTGATTTTTAGACAGCCTACAATTATATTATTATTTATTATCAATAATTTTTTATTATTTTATTTATATTTTATTATTATATAATACATTATTAACAGATTAAATATTTTTATTTAATATGTTATTATATTATTATATAAGATATTTTATTTATTATATTTTTATATTATTTAATATATATTACTAATATATTAAATTATTTATAATATAATATAATATATTATATTATAATAAGCATGATGATAATAACTCTATATTAGTTACATTTAATATATTATATTAGATAATATATTAACACATTCTTAAACTCAAAACCAAAACACCAAACTTAAAACACCTAAAAGGTGTTTTGAAATAAGTATTGTGTTTTTTTGTTTGAGGATGATTTAGCTCAAAAAACACCATGCTTCCCAAACGCATGACGTTTTGTTTTTAGAAAAAACACTATGAAAACAAGTAAAACACCATGGTATCCAAACGGAGTCTTACGTAACTAGGGCTACATCTCATGCTATCAAAATGTAATTAATCAAAAAAAAATAAAAATAAAAATAAAATTTTGCACCCTTAACGTTCTACCCTTGGTTAGATAAACACCTTCTACACATTACACGCCCGCCGTTATTAATGAAAACGAACAGTAGTCTGGCCCGTAGTACGGCCATGTATGCCAAAAGGGCCTATAATGAGGAAATTTGAATTTTCTACCCTCATCAAATGAACCAGACTTTGTCTGCTTATCATGGTCATTGTCAATTTCATCACCGCAAGTACAACCAACCAATTTCACTGTGACCTGTCCTCCATCAGGATCCATCTTGAATATACCCCAGCTTTCCAAAGATCCCTCCCCGCATGTACCTCCCTCCAATATGTACAATTAATATTATTACGTCATTGTCATGGTCACACTATCACCGTCGTTTTACATTTCTGCCCCCACGAAGAGGAGCCCTCCGGGCCTCTGACGTATCGCAGCTGTGTCCGTAAGGCTCCCGGTTACTTGTTGGGCACTGTCGTAATTACGCAATTTAGTGGGCCCCCACAAGAGAAAAGATTCCACCGGTGTCTCAAAAGTACAAGCTTCCAAGGTAACAGACCCCAGTACTTTGAGAGAATCACCAGGATTCAGCGTGGAGCTTGAGATTCTCTTTGGATACCGGCAATGAATTCCCAGAACTTTTTTTTTTAAAATTTATTTATTTTGGTCCTCTTTATGTTACATAGGATTTGCTTTGAGCGTCCTGCTGCTGTTTTTACAGCGATTCTTGTTGCCTTTTTTTAACAAACCTCTCTCTGTGGGGCGTAAAAAGGGCTGCAAATTTTTTGTTGGAATCATCCGCTGAAAGTGAGAGCCTTTTCCTTGTTTTGTTTCCTTTCTATTTTGCAAGTTGGATTTTATTTGTAAATTAATGGGTCCTTAGTTTTTCCCTTCACTCATTTAGATGCATCTGTTAATGCTTTTTTTTTTTTTGTGTGTGTGTTTAATTTTATCGATCTTTGACACGAGGTGGGGGAGGGAAAAAAAGTAAAAATAAATTAAAGGATCTAATAATCCATTAGCACAAAACTTTGTGTGCGCGCTTACAAACCCAGATTCTTTTTGGGCTGTTTTTTTTCTCCCCCTCCTCGTCGTGACATCTCTGTGTTTGTTTTTTCAGCTGTCACTTTATTTTGTTTTTAATTTAGGTCTGCGCCAGTGATTTCTTTGTAGGGGATGAGATTCTGATGAATTTGAATTCAGCCATGGAAGATTCCGGTGCCCGGAAGACTGAATGTTCACCGGAAAGATCTCTGTCGGACTCTGCCGTCGATTTCGACCTCATGGATGAGATTCTATCAGGAGATTGCTGGCTACAAACCCCCGATTACTCCGATCTCTTCCAACCATCAGGCTCAGCTCCCTCCCCTTTCTTCCCTCTTCTTGATATTAGCAACCACGGCTCAAATGCAATCCTCGCCGAAACTGATAACCGAGAAGAAACCCCGCCGAACTCTAGCTCTGAACAGGGCTTGAATTTGTTGGTTCAGCCGAGGAGTCCGACTCCTCCTTTAAAGGACCGTCTGATTCATGCTCTGAAGTGCATTAAGGAATCGCAAAGGGACTGTGATGTACTTGTTCAGATATGGGTCCCGATTCGACGAGGAGGCAGGCATTTCCTGTCAACCTCCGGTCAGCCCTTTTGGCTCGACGCAGAAAACCAAGGCCTCGATAGTTATCGGGAAGTGTCGACAAGCTACCGGTTTTCAGCCGAGGAGAATTCTAACGAGGCAGTAGGGTTGCCCAGCCGAGTATTTCTTGGGAGAGTTCCGGAGTGGACGCCAGATGTTCGGTATTTCAGTAGCTACGAATATCCGCGTGTTGATCATGCGCAGAGGTATAATGTTTGTGGGACTATCGCGCTTCCTGTATTCGAAAGGGACAGTAGATCTTGCCTTGGAGTTTTGGAGGTTGTCTTGACGAGGCAGAAGATCAATTATAGCTCTGATCTTGAGAGTATCTGCAGTGCTCTTCAGGTTTGTTAGAATTCTAGTCTGGTTGGTTCTATTTTGCTATCGTTTATTTTCACAATCTGTTATTCAGTACTAACGTTATTTAGGAGTCCCTCATTTTCTAAGGCTTTATAAAGTTTGCCATCCGTAAACTGACATGGGAAGTCTGAAACACTCTTGTGCTAACAAATCTGTCATATAGCCTTAAATAGCAAGCTTTGTCGAAGGCCGCAGGCACTCTCTGACGTCTCAAAAAGCACAAATACATGACTTTGGAATGAGGAACCTTGGCTTAGTATCAGCCAAGCAAACCCCGGGGTCTAGGGCCCCTCTTTGCTGTTCAGGCCTAGGTGCATAGGGCAAGCGTTGCAATGCCAAATAATTAGAAGTTGCGGTTAGGCATATGCCATAGACACGGATCGACCCTTGGCCTTTTGAGCTAAGGGCCCAGATCCCAACCACTAGGCCACTTGCGAGGGGTCACAATTGCCCCCATGCTAATAGGGAAGTTGATTGGTACTGGTCAATGAGTTCCTACCAACATAGTGAATTAATACTGTTGGTTTGATGACTCAACCGGTGGGTTTTTTTAATCAAGTAACATGTATGGTTGTGCACGTTAATAGGTTAACAAGCCTGCGTACAATAATCACTATGATTTGGTTTTTTAAATCACTCTTAAGATTCTATACATATGAAACCGTTTTTCTTAATTCTTAATTATGAAATGATTGCAGACACTTTTGCATTATTTTAAATTAAGATAAAACCGGTGTAGCTTATGTTATGATGTGCTATTTGCACTTTTACAATATTGAGAGGTTGTGTGCTGCACGGCGCACTTCCATTTTCAACATTGGCCGTAAGTATTAGAAGTTAGTTCAATATCATTGTAGTATTTCAGGATTTTGGATGGAAATTCTGTGACTTCTGCTCTTTTGTGTTGCTAAAAACTTGTCAAGTGTCTACAGCCTGGTCATTGTCACTGTCTACACTCACTGTGTAACATATACAGAGTGGATTCTATACAGAAGTACTATTCAGTGAATTAGCCCTATTGTATTAAATAAAACTCACATCCTTGTTTTCTTTTTAGTATCTCGTCATGAGTAGATTATGGAAGTAAACTGATCTAAAAAGAGAAGCTTCCTCTTTTGGATGTTTGCTTAACACAAATATCTTTGCAGGCAGTGGACCTTAGAAGTTACGATGTTCTCAGTGTTCCTCGAGTAAAGGTGCGATAGCCATTCCCTTAAACCTTGTACTCCACTCAAAATGTCCATCAAATAACTTTTGATTCTTCTTTATCAGGTGAGTAACAATTCTTACCAAGCTGCTTTACCAGAGATCCAACAAGTTTTAAAAGTTGTATGTGAGACCCACAATCTGCCGCTAGCACAAACATGGATCACATGCATTCAACAAGACAAACAAGGTTGCCGTCATTCCAATGAGAACTATAAAGAATGCGTTTCCACTGTTGATGTCGCTTGTTATGTTAATGATCCTTCCATGTTAAGTTTTCATGAGGCTTGCTCAGAGCACCATTTGTTTAGAGGTCAAGGCGTAGCTGGCAAAGCTTTCACAACAAACCAACCATGTTTCTCTCCAGATGTAACTTCTTTTACAAAGACTGAGTATCCACTCTCGCACCATGCGAAGCTGTTCAATTTGAGAGGAACTGTAGCGATCCGTCTTCGAAGCTTTCACACTGGAAAAGCTGACTTTGTTCTGGAGTTCTTCTTGCCTGTTAATTGCATCGAAAGTGAAGAACAGAGACTGATGCTTAATTCCTTGTCCACAACCATTCAGCAGGTTTGCCAGAGTTTAAGAGTTGTCACTGCAAAGGAGCTGGAGGATGAGGCTATGTTAGAAGTTGATGAATCATATCCTTCGGATTTTTTATTTGATGAATCATTTTCCGAAGGAGGCCAAGGAATAGACGAGAGAAATGTTTTTTCATCTGGCTCTCCTTCAACTGGAATTTCTATAGAAGTGCCATCTTTGATTGTGAATGTCACGGAGGTCCAAGAGAAGGAAGAACATGGCTTGCTGCCTTCTTCCACACATTTAGAATTTAGAAAACAGGATATTGAGGAGCTCAAAGTCACTAATAATTGGAATACATCAGAGAGTGGATTATCCAAAAGCAGGATATTCTATGAGTCTGAGCAGCTTCCACAAAGTACCGCTGATGAAAAGGATAATGTTTGTAGTGATATTACATTGCCACAAGCTCGAAAGACAACTGAAAAGAGGCGTGCGAAGACGGAAAAGACTGTCAGCTTGCAAGTTCTTCGGCAATATTTTGCCGGGAGCCTGAAAGATGCTGCGAAAAGCATTGGAGGTATGATTCATCCTTCACAAGATACAACATTCTAAATCATTGTTGCTTAGTAAAGTACGCTAACTTGAGTTTCACATTTTGTTAGCATGACTATATCTTCTATTTATGCACTTAGTTGCAATGTACCTGACGGCAGACTGAGCTGTCTCAAATCTCTATGTTCAGTCACTTCAATGCTTTGTAGAAAATTCACCAATTATTTGGCTATTTTACTATACCTAAGAATTTATCCAAACAAGTAGTCACAAGCTGCACCATGTAAAATTCTCAAGATATGGAGTATCCTTGTTAACTGTTTTGCACACATCAAAGGGGTTCCTACATAACTAAAATTTGAGCAGTCTAAAAAACCTACCAATATGTACGGGTTTTTGGTAGCATTGCAGAGCCATCTGAAAGTTTGTTTCAGTATCTTTGAAACAAGCTTAGTTTGTGCACGGTGGACACTTGATAAAGGAGATAAGGGCTGAGGATCCCAATTACACATTGTGCAGGATTTTGAATAAATAAAGACTTGTGAGAATTGTTTTGAACATATATGGAGTCTTTTAGGGTATCACCACTAGACTAGAAGTCTTACACTAGTGGAGAGGGAGTATTCCACCTCTATTAAGTAGAAGGCATCTTTTTCATGTAAATATCAGTCAGCGATGCAGTCCTTCAAGAAACGAGCTTCTACAATGATCTTTACCTCTTAAGACATCTTTGTTGGTGTTGACGAGGCGCGAAACTTCTCAACCACTTCAGGTTCTTGTTCTTAATAACCAAAAAATAAAAGATAATCACATAAAGAATGGAAAAGGATTTACGTGGAAAACCCAAACGAGAAAAACCACGGGTTGAGCTCATAGCTCGAAGGATACTTCACTATATGGAATCAACAAATGAGTACAAGGCACACCCGACACACCCGACAACACCGACTTCTACACAACCCTCACATCAACAAATGGGTACAAGACACACCCGACACACCCGACAACACCGACTTCTACACAACCCTCACTCACACTCTTTGTCTATTAACTCAACACTCGAGATCTCTACAACATAAGAGACTCTCATTCACTCTAACTCTCTATACTTTCAAGACAACAAGTGAAAAACTTAGATTAACCTTGCATTGCTTTTGAGAACCTCTCCACAATGAGAGCATGTCTTTTTATAGGCTTTGATTAACATTTTCATCTTCCAAAATGCTTGGGAATACACAAATCTGTCCAGATTCGGGTAGGGTACTTTGATTGACCATAACTCCATCCATACTGTTCCGATTCCTGTGATTCAAAGCTTAAGTAAACTATGCATGTACCTCTACAACTTTCATATAGAGTTATGAGCCAAATAATGACTGCACCGTTCCCAAAAAGACCATGCAAAATTGTATCTACATGCAAAAAATTACAGCAAAAAATTTAGCTGGAAATTGAGCCAACTCTAACAATTTTCACCTTGGCGAGATATCCGACGCCACTCGGAATCGTAAGCTGCATTTTCCGAGCATTAGTCTTCAGAATACGAGTTTCTGGAATGTCAATCTTCATCTGAATCACGAACACTTGTCTTCGGAACATGGATCTTCGAAATCTAAGAAGTTATACTCTAGAATTTCAGAGCAAATCCTGCTCTGGCTTCAGCTACTTCACCTTGATAATCATCAACTCATCTCCCCACACCTTTATGTTGGGAAATTACTTGGATTCCCCTATTACCAGATTTAAGAGAAAGCAAAATAAATGCGCAAAAAGAGGGACACGCAAGATTTACGTGGTTCGGCACAAACTTGCCTACATCCACGGGCTACTGCAGATCTTTCACTATAAAGAGAAATTTTACAACACTCTCACAAATTTCTCACAACCCAATCCCTACTCTGAAAATTACTCATAATTTTCTCTCACAAAGACTTTTCTCTAAGCCTTTCTTTTCTCTCTCTTTCTCTTTTATAAGAGGAGTTGTTTCTGGGATGAGTTTTCCTTAGGAGATTGGGAGCCTATTTATAGTATTTGAAAAAACACTATGTACCAATAATTTATTACTGGTGGGACCCATGGTGCGGGCCGTGGTAAGGCCCATCTACACTTTTTTCTTCTCCTTTCAGTGTCTTTTCCTTATTTGTCAAAAAATATGGCTGGTTTTTGTCAAAAAATGGGGCTGGCTAGCTTTCGGTGACTGGAGACATTTGACAAAGAAAAAGAGCTTTGGCTCTTTCGGTGCAGTCATTTCTGACCAACAATCTCCCACTTGAAGACTGATTTTAATCTGTCTTCACATCTCGATCTATGCAGTAGCTCTTCCCCGTCTTGATACTATTGCAGGCCAACTGAAGCTGTGTTCAGCTTCAGTTTGTCAGTAGTCACCGTCTTTGTCAGCATGTCTGTCGGATTTTGAGCTCCATTAATATTTTCAAGCTTCCAAATTCTATCTTCCAGAAGTGACCGTATAAAATAATATCGCATCTGTATGTACTTCGTTCTTAAATGAAAAGACGGATTCTTCGCTAGATGAATAGTACTTTGACTGTCGTAATATAGGACATTGTCTTCTTGTTTCTTGCCTAACTCATCCAAGAAACTTTGAAGCCAAACCATTTCCTTGCTGGCTTCTGTAACAACGATATATTCTGCTTCAGTTGTGGAGAGAGCAACTATCTTTTGTAGTTGAGAAACCCAACTCACTGCTGTACCTCCTAGAGTATAGACATACCATGTAGTACTCTTTCTGATATTAATATTTCCTGCTAAATCAGCATCCACATAACCTGTTAGTATTGTATCTCCATATTTGAAACAAAGTGCTTTACCTGTGGTATCCTGTAGATATTTAAGGATCTATTTGACTACTTCCCAGTGTATCTTGCCTGGATCATTCATGTACCTGATAACAGCTCCCACTGCTTGAGCAATATCTGATCTTGTACAAACCATGACATACATCAGACTTCCAATTGCTGAGACGTACGGGACTGTCTTTGGTGACTGCTCTTTGGAAAGTCTGAAATGAACACTTAAAGGTGTACTCACTGGTTTAACATCTTGCATATTGAACCTGGAGAGTATTTTGTTAATGTACTCAGCCTGTGATTACATCAAAGTCCCAGACTTCGTGTCTCTCTTGATCCTCATTCTAAGAATCTGTTTTGTAGCGCCAAGATCTTTCATTGCGAACTGCTTTGATAATTTTTGCTTCAAATTTGTAATCTCTTACAGATCTGAGCCTGCAACGAGCATGTCATCAACGTATAACAATAAAATAATAAAGCTATTGTCAAACCTCTTGATATAACAATAATGATCTGCTTGGTATCTAGTAAAACCGTTGCTGCCCATAAAGCTGTCAAACTTTTTGTACCACTTCATGGGAGCTTGTTTTAATCCATACAAGCTCTTCTTCAAACGGCATACTAGATTTTTCTTGCCTGTCTTTATGAAGTCTTCTGGTTGCTTCATATAAATCTTCTCCTCCAAATTACCATGAAAGAAAGCTATTTTTACATCTAACTGCTTAAGATGTAAATTCTCAGCAACTACAATTTTTAACACTAGTCTGATTGTAGTCAGTTTCACGACCAGAGAGAAAATTGTATTGTAGTCAATACTTTCCTTTTGCTGAAAGCCTTTGATAACCAATCTTGCCTTGTAGCGTTTGTTCCCATCATGCTCTTCTTTGATCCTGTAAATCCACTTGTTATGAAGAGCTTTCTTACCTGATGGTAATTCAGATAAGTCTCACGTCTGATTTGACATGAGCGAGTCCATCTCATCTTACAGAGCAGACTCCCACTTGTTTGAATTCTCTACCTGCATTGATTCATCATAACACTCTGGTTCACCATTGTCAGTCAGCAACAAGTAGTGCAAAGAAGGCAAATAACGTTGGGTTGGCTTAGGAATTCTTGAGAAGCGTCTCATTTCTGGCGTGCTTAGTTCTTCTTGAACCGCTTTAGGGCTAGTCTGAACATCATTTTCAGAAATCTTCTCAAATTCAGTAAATTCCTTTGTTTTAGCTTTTGTACTAGAGCTACTTGATTTTGTAGTTGATCTGTCTTTGTACATCACATTCTCATTGAATATGACATCTCTGTTTTTGATGATCTTTCGATTTTTATAGTCCCAAATTCGGTAACCAAACTCATCACCACCATAACCAACAAAAACACATTTGTTAGATTTGACATCAAATTTACTTCTTTTAGCAGAATTTATGTGTACATAAAAGATACAACCAAAAATTCTTAAATGCGAAAGGTTTACCTCTTTTTTGCTCCAAGCTTCTTCCGGTATTCCACCATCCAAGGAAACTGAGGGTCCGCGGTTGATTAGCTAGACTGTGGTATTGATAGCTTCAGCCCATAGGAACTTGGACAAGCCAGCATGTAACCTCATGCTTCTGGCACGTTCATTCAAAGTTCTGTTTATGTGCTCCGCTACGTCATTCTGCTACGGTGTCATAGGAACCGTTTTCTCCATCTTGATTCCGTTGTTTGCGCAAAATTCTTTGAATCTACTATCTTTGTACTCTCCTCTGTTGTCTGACCTCAACCGCTTTATCTTCAGACCAGATTCATTTTCCACCATGATCTTTTATTTTCTGAAGGTATCAAAGACTTCTGATTTCTTCTTTAGAAAATAGACTCATACCTTCCTTGTAGAATCATCAATGAAAGTGATATAGTACAATGAGCCTGCAAGAGATAAAACTGGAGATGGCCCTCATACGTCGGTATGAACTAATTCTAACATTCCTGTCTTGGGTGTCTTGCCAATTTTTGCAAAACTGACTTTTTTCTGTTTGTCAAAGATGCAATCCTCGCATAGGCCGACATCTACATTCTTCAGATTCGACAGCTTTCCTTTTGACAGAAGTGTCTTCATCCCTTTCTCGCTCATATGGCCAAGCCTTTGGTGCTATAGGTTTGATTTTTTATCTGCATCTGTTACTGCAATGATATTCTCTAAGTTAGAGGTTACATAAAGAGTACCACTTTTCTTACCTCGAGC